ACTTCCAGTAATAAAATCCCAAATCAGTGTTTACAGAGGTGTTTCTTCTGTTAAAGTATTTTTTTTTAGTGGCTTCTTCATGTGTAGCTGTAGCTTTTTTTCACTAAAATAAATTAATCATTGATGGCAATGTAAAATCACAGAAAACTAAACCAAGGGTCCACTATGTGTTTTTTTTTTTTTTTTCCCAGATACACTGTTTCTTTTGCCTCCTTCCTTTGGATCTCTGTGTGGGTCCTGTTCAATGTTTATTCAACCTGTGTGTACTTTTTGTGTTTCCCCATCTGGTGTCTGCTTTAGTTCCAGCCTGACTATTGCAGTGTGAAGAATACTGTAGCCTTCTCTATATCAAACAGAAAAGAAATAGAATATAGAGGTGAAAATACCTCTTTCAGGAGAGAAGAGAGAGTCCTTGCTATGGATTTTTTTTCCCCCACTTATGATTTTTGGTTTGCTTTTTTGTTTTAGTTCTATTTGTTTGGGCAAGTTTCTTGCCATTTACCTTTGCATTTGCATTTCCTATTGATTGGCAATTTTTAAACTGTTTATTGTGCTCTTTTGTTTAGCTGTTCAAGAGCTAAAACAAAAGCCACCAGGCCCTGTGAGGGACACATTTGCATGCGGCGAGCGTTGCCCGAGGAAAAAGTAATTGCTAATGCATATTTATGTGGCACAAATTTGCCATTTGTTTATGCATAAAATTATCAATAGTGCAGGGCGGCCCAGCCGTAGAAAATGGTGACCTTTTTAGCTTAATAAATAGAAATCAGCTGTTATTGTGAAGAGATCAGCCATTTATTCTGTGTTGAGGGACACTGTCGGGAAAATGTAGATTGGTGCTGGCAATATCATTAAATGGAAGGCCAGTGACCCTTTCGGTATAGTCTATTATACTTTATCTAATAGGGGATAAATGACTCTGGTTGGCAAATAGATTTAAAAAAAAAAAAACAGTAAAAAGGAGAAGAAAAAAAAAACCCTTCAGACTTGTCTCTTATTCCTCAACCATCTAGATCGTGAACAGGTAGACAGTGAGGATGTAATCTTGCACAAGCCTGTTGGTTTTTTTCAAGCAGAGAAGTGACTCTTTTTTAAACTCTCTTTTTAGACTACTTTTTGATTGTTTTGATTTGGAGTAGGGAAAAATAACCAAAGCTGCTGATTCTTCCTAGTTCACTTGGTTAAAGGAAGTATTCTGGAAGGCCCATATATTAATCACAATTTGGCTGTTGAAATGAGAACCCATCCTTTCAAAGTGGAAGGAAGGGTCTTTTCTGAAGATAACAGAATTTTAGTTATGCTTTTATCTCATATGCATTTAGTTTTTAAAGTGTAGATAAAAATTTGCCAGATTACAGGCCAAGACACCGAAGACCTCATCTGCAGAACAGTTTCTCAGAAGATGTAGAAAGGCAATTCCCTTTAATGCTGCTCCACTAATTCCCCTCCACCTTAATGGGCAGACTTAAGACCTGAGGAGTTAAGAACTAACAGCCATAAGTCTCAGGAAGTTCATGTAAAAATAAAAGTATAAGCAGAAAACCTCATGTTTCTGTATTTCACTGTTCTCTCTAGTGCACTGTGCTGTGCATAACTGGAAGCAGCTTTGCCTACTACCCAGGTGAAATGGGGAGAGTTGCGAGCCACCGTGACTGTGAATGGTTGTGTTTTCTGTGCATGTTGTGTGCAGGGCTGGACGTTTGATTTTTAGCCTTGAGAAAGATCCAACAGATGCTTTTAATAGCAATATTTTATATCTGAAAGGCTATGTTAGATTGAGAGAGAGCCTCATGTGCATACCCTCCCTGACTGTATGAGATGGCATCCCATCTGCTACTGTGGTGAGACTGCCTGCCTTCAGGAGCTGGAGACTGGCAAATGTCGTCATCACAGAAAAGCTGCCACAATGTATGTCAGATGTATGCATCTTCCTGGTGGTCTCGCTGTAAGAGGCAAGTGGCTGAACAGAAAGAAGGACCCTGCAAATGAGATCTGTGGAAGTCTCTCTGAGGCAGGGTTGGGTGGGGAAGGTGGTGCGTAGGCTGCCATCAGGAGACTGATAGGCGGGACAGGACTCCTGTCTTAAAGGCTGTTGATCTGCCATTTTGACTAGTACCAAAATTTAGGTCAAGTTGTTTTGTTTTTAAGTAATACCGCAACATATAATACAGTACATATTATATAACGTATAGTATACGCTATGTTCTACACTATAATGATGTAGTAGGGATCTTTGTAAGAACGTATGCTATTGTTTGAGATTTCTTCATCCCAAAAGTTTCCCCTTGGACCGGGACAGCCCTTGGAAAGGGATTCTTGTGTTATCTCTGTGCGCTTTTCTATGCGTCAAACTCCTTTTCCCACAGCTCTTGCCCTGTTCTACAACTACCTTGTAGTTGTCCCAAATAATGGTCTCCAGAGGATATTGCTTTCAAAACAAAAGATTTTAGGCCATGATATAGAAATACAGATAAATTCAAAGAAATACTGAAGTATAGTTAGTATAAGTTTAAGTATTAAAGTAAAAGACAGTGAAATAAAAACAAGTTTTCTGAAATCTCTATTAACAGTTGGGCGTTGCCTCATCTTCTCGTTAATAAGCAGGGTTGATTGGGTTTTCTTTCTTTATAAACAGATTTTTCCTTTTTACTTCAACAAATTAATTAAGCCTTGCTCATTCCAAATAAATCTGATTTCTCTGAAGGGTCCTTTCGTGTACAGATGTCCCCAGCTCCACTCCTGAAAGCGCTCTTCCTCTCCACGTCAAAGCTCCCGGCCAGTTGTTAGCCCTTCTTTTGCTTTTTCTTTCCTAAGAACGATAAAAACAACCCCTTTGAAGCATGCTGAGTGAGTCCTGGCAGGTAGGAATGGGAGGCAATCACATTACCTGCCAGCAAGGTTTATGCAGATAAAATTAACGAGTGGAAAATGTTTACATATAACGTGTAGGAATAAACTGGGGGCACGCTGTTGTCAACTAACCTGGCTCCAGTGAGATTCTAGCTATGTATTATTTTTATATCCACTGCCGTTGCTATTACTGCTGTTACGTGTCATATAGAGGCTCAGGCCAAGGTGTGGAATACGCTGAGGGTAAGTACAAAGAAACAGAAAATGCTTATAGAAATATAAGAAATAGAAAACAGGTTTATGTCTAGCCTTATGGAAGGTTACTGAAGTTTTCTAAAGAGGAGGCAGTAAAGGGAGAAGGTAGGTCAGAGACAAAGCAAGGATGAGCAAATAATCTCAGCGATCACAGGTGGTAGCAGAAAATACAAGAATCAATAAAATGAATATGACTTTTTCTTTGTAATTCTACTTACGGAGCGGACAGGAGGTATCACTGTGCCTTGTTTCTAGGCTGCAGGGAAAGCCAAATAAATGCACGGGAATGTTTGATTACTGCAAACGAGCCTTACAGGTCTGATCTTCACCTGCCGTTATTTGGCTTAGCGTCTGTGATTATTCTGGGGTCTGACCCTAAGGATGAAGGAATGGAGTGGGGCTTGTTCTCTCCTCAGCGCTTCCTCAGCCCCCAGCATGTATATTGTATTAATAACGTGTTAGTTAGGGAAGAAAGATAAAGGACAAATTTTATTTTGTGCTAATTAGTTGAGGAATGCTTTATAAGATGAGATTAAGCATTAACACATGAGTTAAGCAATTTATATTTTCTGGTTCTTTCAGATACTGTTAACCAGGTAGTCTGATAGGTCCTTCAGATCTTGAGGTTTTTTTTTTTTCTTCCTTAAACATATATTTATTTTGAAAAACCCCTAGAGATGCTAACCTTGCTAAGAGCAGAATTTCACATTTGAGGAAACTTATATACAAAAATATAGAAAGCACATTTCTGTTTGCTCGCCTGATTGTTGAAAAACAATACAGAAAATCAACTTTTATCCTCACAAAGTTTTGCTTGCATGCAGGGATAGTCATCTTCGGAAACGTTATGCTCTGGCCTGTTCTCGCTAGTCTTATGTGCCTCTCATTTTCACCGAGTGTTGTCAGAGCTATAGGGCTGGCAAAGTGACTCCCATCGGGTTAAAGTGGTGTAGAAAGCGTCTGGCTTTGTTTTGATACGGCTTTCAGATTTGAGGATGTTTTTTGTTTTTGACAGAATTTCTACTTATTTTTATTCAGCATAATTCATATTATATGTTTCTTATTCCAAATCAATTGATTTGGTTAGACTAGATTAATGTTAATAGTAAATTTTTATATTAAAATATCCTAACTCAGCTTTGGGATGCAAAACGTGATTGAAATGATGGACACTTGACGCGGTGTGGTCTGCAACTTGTGTGAACTTGATGCGTTATGTCACAAGTGTGGTCTCAGACTCACTTCTGTAGCTGTGTTCACGTGACCCAATCAAATAACGACAGTACCGAATATCTTATATTTTTAAATCCCTGCAGCACGTGCTAGGGGAGGCACAGTGGGAAATCAGACCCCAACGGTAGGGTCTCTGAATCGCAGGGTAAGCCTGGGAATAACCCTCCTAGGCACATGGCAGTGGTCAGAAGCGGAGCTGGGGCGCGAGGGCTTCTTGCTGACTGGTGCCGCTGACCGCGCGAAATGGCTTGGCGTGCACGAATGTGATACTGAAGGTATAAAACAGACTCGATGAGTGTAGGTTAGCTTTTTTCAACACTTGAGAGAAACAGGAATATAGAGTCGTATTTTTCTCTTAGTTTGAGCTTCATATTGATTTACGATGATAATAGGTGCCACTTTACTCCTAATAATGTCTACTTTTTTATTTTTTTTTTTTTTTGCTATTACGTATTTCTATGGCAGCTTTTACATGTGATGTATTTTGGGTCACACATTAATTTACACCAGCTTCTGTTCTGCAAAAAAAGAGTTCACGAACTAAATGAAAAGGAATGGGGAGGGGGGGATGTCTAGCAGAGCCCAGGCTTTTGTTTCATGTTTTGGATGCATTTTCTTTTTAAAATCAAATTGTTGATACGCATTTGCTTTTATTTTTCTAGCCTTCCTCTTGCTGATGACCGGGTTCCTGTTTGATCCTGTTTACAAGCTTCCGAAGATTGAAAATAACCCCAACCCCTCTGCACTGGGTAGGAAAACAAAACCTTGTAAAGACATACTGCAATTACTCGGGAGGGCTAGCAATATGGGAGTGTGGTATGAAGGAAGAGCTTGTGGAGGAAAAGGAGAAGGTTACTAGGTTACCACAAAAGACATTAGTGTACATAATTTTTCTCACTTGCTTCTTTTGGACTGGGGAAGAGGGGGAGGAGTGGGTGTATCAGCAAGTAAATAAGGATATTCTCCAGTATCTGTATTTCCAGTATAACTATTTTCAGTTTGGCTATACTTCTTTGGTACTCATTCAAGCAGTTTTGCAGTTGTATTTTAATATATTCAAAACCTAAGAAAGATCAGTTTGAAAGATTTGGGTTTTTCTGTTTTTCCTATTTTTTAAAGTTTACTAGCAAGACAAAAATTATCTCCAAATTGCTATAAACCTCTGGGTATATGTGCAATATCTAATTAGGATTCATTTGTAGGTTTACCTATTTTAAATGCTAAATTTTTACGCATACTTTATAACATGACTTTTTTTGTCCGCACTTGGGGAAAGTAGATGGAGAGCAATTCAGTTGAACGTTGTTGTTGGCCTGACAGGTGACTGAGATGTAGGTAGTTCCACAGTTAATGCATCAGCTCAATCCCTAGTAGTCTTTGGGCTTAACCTGACTGCTGTGAATAGTAAATGTGTGTAGAATTAGGGCTTCAAAGACAAGCACCTCCTTGAGGGAGTGCACTTTTTAGTGCGTTGTCATTGACTTCAAGAAGAGTGGGAGATGTCAAATGCTTTTGAGTGCAATGTGATTTTCCTCACGTTAGGCTTCAGCTACTTTGACCAGGTTCCTGTCATGTTTGTGCATTCTGGTATTAGTTTGTGCCTTGACAACGGGAGTGGAAAATGCTCCCAAACCACAAATCTAAATCCAGCCACAGTGACAGATGCTACTTATGTCTATTTTTCCTGGATAGGAATACGGAAAAGGTGTGGAAGGCCATGGAGAACCCAGGCCCAATGTATCTGAGGTTGTAGGGCCAGCTAGAAATGGAAATGACCGAAACTGTGACACAACCTTCTTGATTTCCATATGGATTTGTCCACATGCAGTGGGCTATTCTGCAGTTCTTGTCAGGGTGAAACTTCCCTTTAAGTCTGAATGCGGGATTATCAGATTGATAGAAAAATTTCTAGTGTAAATCATCATTTTTCTTAGTGAGGCCTTAAACACATCTGAGATCACAATCTAAATCATGGCATTTAAAAATGATTTATACGCAGAAACTTTTTCTCATTCACTCTTCTCTTTTTAACTACCAGAAGTCAGTTGTGAAATTCTTGTACTTCTTCCTGAGTATGCTTATCAAAGAAATCACTAATTTGCCAACCAGTGCTTACTAATCAAGGAAATGAAACTTGTACTTAAGAGGAAAAAGAAATCTTTACGAGTTGCTGAATGATTTTTGTTATTGCTGTTATAAAAGCTTGCCATGTACTGGGCAACTTTTTTTCTGTTGTTTTTTTTGTTTTTCCTGCTTCCTTGAGGTTTTCATTCTGAGAGGGGTCACCAGCCTTTGAGAGTGAGCCACTTTGACAAATCTGTCCTCTAAATTGAGCAGCATTAATTAGAACTTTATGCTACAGATCCTTACTTTTTAATGTGGGTGGTGGTATCAACAAAAATTTATAATGAATTTGATTGAAGATGATTTTAAAAGGTCTGCCACCTGTAGATAAAAATGTGCATTACTACACATGATAATTATCAGGACTGAAGGCCGTGACATGATCTGTTGACCTTTTGAAATCAAAACACTCACTGTAGAGGAAAAAAAAAAAAAAAGGAATGATTTCTCCAGCTATGCTAATAGAGGACAAGTCAATGTATTCAACTGTATCAACACTGCACAGTATAGCTAGTGAAAAAGATACTTTAGATTATGCATTAGATCCAAGTTTTGTATATTCTCCTCTCTTACACTATGGCTTGTAAAGCTCTCCCTATTTCTGTATGTATTGAGGCATCTTTTTCAGTCTAATGAAAATATATTGCTAAAAATATTCAGGTGACGGAGATAGCAGCAAAACATCTATGAGCCACCCTACAGAAAATAAACTAGCTTTCCATGAGCAGGATGAAGAGGAAAGTGTACAGAAGCAGATTTCAGCTTCAGGCTTTCTATAGGGGCATTTACAACAAAGGAGGGGAGCAATAACCCAGCAACTATCATTGTAAAAATTATGAAGAGCACTTTGATGGTCCTTTTAAAGTTCACTAAACAGGGGCCAAAGCAAAAGCCCGAAAGGCAGCTCTTGCTTTGCTGTTAACAACCTAAGAGCGTTGCTGCTATTTGCAGTTGAGAATGAGTGCTTCCGCACATAGTAACGGTGAGCAAAAACTAGAGGGAAATAAAGGATGCGAATGAAAGATTTTCTCTTTTCATACGAGTACTTGGAACACCGAGCAAGCAAAGCAGCAGCTATTTTAGCTAGGCTAATGTAATAGAAGACCATTGCACCCAAACTGTCTCAGCAGAACTTCCTGCATAATTAGATTGTAAATCTTCTCAACTGAGGAAGTTTTGCCCAGGGTCAGATTGTCTAAGTAATAATCCATTCTACATAAATTAGAAGATTTGAACTGCTGGGATACATTATTACATTAGTTTTGTTTTTTATTCTTAAAACGACTACGAAGAACAAATACAACAATTTTCTTTTCTTTTCTTTTTAATTATGTTACATCCCTTTAACTTTTGCTTACCTCAGAGGGCCTTTTTTGTGTGTGTGTGTGTGTGTGTGTGTGTTGTTCGTCCCCCCCCACCCCGTCCCTGTAATTTTCTTGAGCAATAATGATGATGTTCCCATCTAGGCAAATTAATACATTTTTAATATACTTCAGAAAGTGATACCACAGAATTCTCTGGCCACCTGATTCTGTGATATCACTTTCTCAGTGAAGCTTTTAGTAAGAGATGCTGTTGCTCTTTATTTGTGCTGCAGTTTTTGTGGTGCTGAAGTTTTACTTCAAGGTATGACTCCCTTGTTCTGCAAAGAATAGAATTGCTGCCTTTGGGGTAAGAGTTAAAGGATGTGAATTTACTAATGACCAATTTACACCAAGGAGGCTTCTAAGGTTTTGATTGAATTATTTTATTTGAAAAAGAAAAGATTGTGGGTAGTTGATAGGCTTATGCAGTTACACGTGAAAAGTGTTAGGGGCTAAATCCTGAGGTCATTGCTCAGGTAAAAATCGCCACTGGGATTTCAGTATTTGGCCCTGCATGAAGGAAACAATAATCACAGCGTAGCACCGATTAATGTCTGTGGACTTACTGTCAGTGATGTTGTTTTTCAGTTTGACTTCATGATTTTCACTATAAAATGGAGCAGTGGTCAGCTTTTCAGGAGAGTCTATGCTTATTTTTACAGGAAGAAATAACTTACAGGACATTTTGCAGTTACTAAAGTCATATTTAAGAAGTAGGCATGTTAAAACTTTTGAGCTGGATTCTGAGTGTCTGTGCACACTTAAAAACAGAGCGGATGCTGAGCAGCTGGTAGAAGCGCTCGCAATTCTGTAAGGTTCAAGTTCCCAGGCAGGGCTTTGTGTGAGCACAAATGCCAAGGTCTTTCAGACACACATTAAATAATCTAGACTTGCACGACTCTAGTAAGTGGTGTCAGGATTGCAAAGTCAACTTGATCTAGGTCCATGATGAGGGTTTTTTTTTTTTTTTAATTACACGTGTAAGAGTTGAGAGACGAAAATATAATAGAAGAAAAAGGTCTAATTCCGTTGTTAATGACTTTTTAAATATCCAGTTGTCACTGAAAATTCATATATAACATTATATTAATTTTTTGGAAACTGACTGAGGAGGATGCTGAATTCCCTATTTCTCATGTACTTGCTGTCCTCAAAAGGAGAATTCAATGGATAATTATTGAATATGCCAGCACAGGAGGATTTTGCTTGCCTGATGCCTGCTCTGTCTGCTCAGCTGCATGGTGACTCCTTAGCTGGCCTGTTCTGCTGAGCAGTGAAAGCTGAAGGCAAAGCATTGTGTCTTGGTGGA